TGTGGGATCTTTTCTAAAAATTGTTCTGGACCCTTAGAATTTCAGTACGCCTGAGGTGTGTGAGTGGGCAGCTTTGCTTCATGAGCAGAAGCCAGCAGGAGTGAGAAAGGAAAAGAGTGGTGATTGAGCCCCCACTTTTGGGCCAGGCTCTTTTCACAGACATTATTCACTAATTGTTGCAAATACCCTGAGGCTACAGTTTCTCCCCATATTTTACAGATGAATTGCCTCTGAGAGTCAAGGTTTGAGTTCACATCTCTGTGCTCCCTAGGGTATCTAGTATGCTGGAGGTCTGCAGGATAGAATGTCACAAGAGCCAGTACTTCTTCATTGCAAATAACTTTTTTAAACAACATAAAAGACAACTATACACATGGACCTCATCAGATGGAATATACAGAAATCAAATTGAGGATATCTGTGGAAAAAGACAATGGAAAAGCTCCATATCATTAGCCAAACAAGGCCAGGGACAGACTGTGGAACACACCACCAATTGCTCATGTATAACCTCGGGCTGAAGTTGAAGAAAATGAAAACAAGTCCATGAGAGCCAAAATATGACCTTGACCATATATCCCACCAGAATTTAGACATCATCTCAAGAACAGATTTGAAGTATTCGACAATAATGACTGAAGACCCAAAGAGCTGTGGGATGACATCAAGAATACCACATGGTAAGAAAGCAAAAAAGGAGCTCTGGTAGCGTAGTGGTTACGAATCAGGCTGCAAACCTTAAGGTCAGCAGTTCGAGACTATCAGCTGCCTCGCAGGAGAAAGATGAGGCTTTCTGCTTCCGTAAAGATTTACAGCCTCAGAAACCCTATGCAGGGTCGCTATGAGTCGGAACCGACTCCACGGCACATAACAACAACAACAAGAAAGCAAAAGGTCATTAAGAAGACAAAAAAGAAGGAAAAGACTAAAATGGATGTCAGAAGAAGCTCTGAAACTTGCTTTCCAGCATAAAGATGCTAATTGGGGTAAATGGAAGAAATGAAGACATAAAAGAGTTGAAGAGGAAAATTTCAAAAAGCAGCTTGAGAAGACAGAGTCAAATGTTATAATAAAATGTACAGAGCTCTGGAGTTAGAAAACTAAAGGGAAGAACACACTCAGCATTTCTCAAGCTGAAAGAACTGAGGAAAAAATTCAAGCCTCGACTTAAAATATTGAAGGATTCTATTGGCAAAATGGAGTCCTGGTGTGGTACTGTGGGTTAATGCAGTAGACTGCAGCGTCAGTTTAAATTGCAAGGTCAGCGGTTCAAGCTCACCAACCACTCGCTGGAAACCCTTTACAGGGTCGCTATGAGTTGGAACCCACTCAGTGGTACTTGACACAACAATGGTCAAAGGATTTAATGCTGGAGAAGGTATCAAAAGAAGATAGAAGGCATACAGAGAGACAGTGGACCAAAAAGAAATGGTCAGTGTTCAACCACTTGAAGAGGTGGCTTGTGATTAACAGCCAATGATACTGAAGGAAGGAGTCCAAGGTGCCCTGAAGGCATTGGCAAGGAACAAGGCTCTGGGAATTGGTGGGATGCAAATTGAACTCACCGAACAAACTGCTGCAGCGCTGGGGGCACTCACTCATCTATGCCAAGGAATTGGGAAGACAACTGACTGGAAGAGATACATATGTCTGCCCATTCCAAAGAAAGGTGACCCAATGGATGGCGGAAATCATCAGACAATATCACATGCAAATAAAATTTTGCTAAAGATAATTCAAAAACCTTGCTTGCTGACAGCAAAGGGGACTTAAACTTCTCACTGATGAAGATCAAAGACGACAGCCTTTAGTATGGGTTGCACCTCAATGTAAAGAAAAAAAAAAAATCCTCACCACTGGACCAATAAATAACATCAAGATAAATGGAGAAAAGATTGAGGTTGTCAAAGACTTCATTTTGCTCCGACCAGCCATCAACACTCATGGAAGCAGCAGTCAGGAAATCAGACAATGTATTTATTGCATTACAGATGTCAGCTTGAGGACTAAGGTGCACCTGACCCAAGTCATGGTATTTTCAATAGCTTTATATGCATGTGAAAGTTGAACAATGAATAAGGAAGGGCATAGAACAATTGATAAATTTGAGCTATATGTTGGAGGAGAATAATAAAGGTACCATGGAGTGACAGAAAACAAACAGATCTGTGTTGGAAGAAGTACAGCCAGAATGCTCCTTAGAAGTCAGGATGGCCAGACTTGGTCTCTCATACTTAGGACATATTATCAGGAGAGACCAGTCCCTGAAGCAGGATGTCATGCTTGGTTAAGTGCAGGGTCAGCAAAAAAGAGGAAGCTCCCCAGTGAGTTGCATTGGAACAATGGCAGCAGTAATAGGTTCCAACATAACAATAGTTGTGAGATTGGAGCAGGAGTGGGCAGTGTTTCATTCTGTTGTGCGAATTGTTGCTATGAGTCGGTACCTCTCGACAGCACCTAACAACAGGGGTTTCAGTGGCTGATTTCCCCAAAATAGATAGCCAGGCCTTTGCTTCTGAGGTACCCCTGTATAGACTCAATCCACTGACCTTTCAGTTATCAGTGTCTTAACTGTCTGTAGCACACAGTCACTCTGCTGTGATATAAGCTCCCAGGAAGTACCTCCTTGCTGCCCTCCATTCTGGAAAGGATGCAATTGGTACAAAGCAAGCTGGTCTCCCATCTTGTGACGTGCCAACTCTCCTAAGGAGGGCTGTACTACCCAGAGCCTCTGGGTTGCCGAGAAAGGAGAAAGAGGTATGGGCTGCCATATTTTATCCACGTTACAACCATGTCCTGAGCAGCCCAGAGAGCAAGGTGAGCTCTTCCCCTTAGACCTGTCTTCATTGATTATAAGCACATAAAAGACAGCCCAGATTTATTCAAGAGCAGGAGGTTGTATGAAGAGGTGGGGAAGCAGAAAGAGAAACAGCAGCTCCGGCTGGCTTGTAAATGAGATGGTGGAAACCCGAGCGGCCGGGCAGCTGTTGGAGGCTCAGCCTCAAACACTAGCAACTGAATCCATATAAGGACTGGAGATAATAGAGGAGAGTCAGGAAGACAGAAGGCCAGAAAAACCCAAATGCCCACAAATTAACTACCAAATCTGCACACTTGTCACCAGGGCACAGCAAACTGCTGTACGTTTAAATAAAGCTTTGTGACCTTTACAGCAGAACTGCTCCAAGGAGCTGCCCGGGTCTTTAATAGAAAGGAAAGGTAGAGAAGATTGAATTTCTGATTAGGGCAGCTGCCTGATGCTCATCAGCCCAGCTCTGATTTCTCCTGGGCTGTGGATCATTTTTATGACTGGTGAATAAATGATTATTATCTACATAATATCACTTTGGCAAAAAAAAAAAAAGAAGGCTGCAGTTGAGTCCGTCTCCAGCGGGGTGGGGCAGGGGTGGGGGGAGAGAAGTGGGTGCATCAGCCGTTTTGTACAGTCTGGTGGCTGCAGGTAACCAGGACATCAGACCTGGGCAGGTTGGGAATTGAACAGCCAGGAGGGACTGAGTTGAACCAGGCAACAATGAAGGGGCAAGGGATGGGGGCTGCCTAGTAGGGTCTGTAATTAGCACAGAGCCTGCCCTGGGCCACCAGAGGCCTCCTTATAAGGAGGGTGAGCATCCCCAGCCTGCTCTGGGCAGCAGAAACAATACAATTTTGGTCTTAATGAACAATCCAAAGCCAAGCCCATTGCCAAGGAGTGGATTTCAACTCAGAGTATCAACCTCATCTTTCTCCTTGAGGAAGCTGGGGGTTTGAAGTGCCCACCTTGCAGTTAACAGCTGTGCCTAGCCTAAAGTGCCACCAGGGTCTCTTTTTGGTTCTTATGTTGTTGTTAGTGCCCTCGAGGTGGTTCTGTCCCAAAGCAACCCTCTCTAGGATTTCGGGTGAGCAGCTGGTGAGCTTGAACCGCCGACTTTGCAGTAGCCCACAGCTGCACACCAGGGCTCTTTAAATCTTTGGGGGAGCAGAAAAACCTCATCTTTCCCCCAAGCAGCAGTTAGTAGACTTGAACCGCTCACTGTATAGTTCACAGTACAGTGCTTATCAAATGGAGACGTGCTCCCCTTGCTCCATGTGGTTGTTGTTGTTGTTAAGTGCCATAGAGTCGGTTCCAATGTATAGTGACCCTGAATAGGGTTTCCAAGGAGCAGCTGGTAGGACTGAAATGCCAACCTGTGGTTGGCAGTCCAGGCTGGTCCTACAGCCCACACCAGAAGTCCTTCAGTTGGGAGTCCTGCTGTGATGCTCCCTTTGTAGGAACCATGGATTTCTCAAACCGAGGCCAGCGCCTCTTCCTAGCAAGGTCACCTGCAGGGGCAGGGGTAGAAGGGGGTGACAAGGCGGCCATAGAGAGGATTTAGACATTCCCTGCTGTACTGCTCAGCAAGTGGGAGGGCAGGCACCTACCTAATCCCTGGGTCTGCAGCATTTCCCTGTCCTGTACCCCACCAGAGCATCCTCAGGCCCAAGCGTAGCGGACAGCGCCAGCTGTCTGCTGGGCGCCATAACAGCCACGCTGACTTCTGAAGCTGTCGGGAAGCCAGAGCTCCCAGCAGCGGCGCTCAGCCTCGCCCTCCGGCTCTCCCTTCCGTGCACAAATGGCTCCTGACGTCAGCCACGGCCATTAGCCGCCGAGGCCGAGCCCCAGCTGCTAGCCGCAGCTCGGGCTCTGGGAGTCTCCGGGGCGCATAAGCCCCGCTACAGAACTACACAAGGGCGAGCCGAGACAAAGAGAAGTACCCGGTGGGGGCGTCCCGAGGCCACCGCCAGCTCCTCCATGGGCCTTCGCCCGGACTGGGAGGCAGGCCCGAATGAAAGGCCGCTTCCTGGGCCCCCGCTCCCCCTGCCCCTCTCTGCGGTTTCCTTCCTCTGGTTTTGTAATCTCTGTCAATTGCCAGACACTTTCCATTGTATGTGACTTCATCGTGGACATAATGCTCTGTCAGTTCGGCAAGTGGGGACCAAGCCAAATAGTTTTCTGATCAACTTCAGTCTTCAGAGGGCTCCAGCCGGCTGTGGACAAACAGGCGTTTCTTTTCCTGAGCGCAGTCCTCGGCTCCCTTGGCGGGCATGGGGCGCCCTCTCCTGGCAGCCGGCTTGCACGACGTGACGCGACCCCATGCGCGTAGGCCCTTGGAGGCACCTGACTGTGGTGGGTATCTTGTACCTCGAGAAGATGTACACTCATGTTTCTTAGGCATGTTTCTTAGACCCTAAAGTAACTGATGGGATGACTTGGTGCCATAAACGGTTAAGTGCTCACTGCCAGCCAAAAGGTTGGTGGTTGGAGGTACATAGGAACTTCCAACCTGCTTTCCGAAGGTCTTGTGGCCAGATTAGATGCGGCACCAACTTCCCCAGCAGTGGTTCTCAGGTATTGTTGGTGCTGAAGCTGGGCCACATGGTAAAGGTGGCAGGTGGCAGATGAACCCAGAGGCAGAAGGCTGAAGAAAGTTGTGGCTAGGTTTCCTCGGAGCCGAGATCCAAGAGCAAGATGTCTCTGTTCCTCCTGAGATCTAGTATTGAAAACGTGGTCTGGAAGATGAAAAGTGGCATTTAGAAAAGATTTGCAGATTTCAGTAGTTCACAGATGAAAAGGAATTTTGCCCTCTTATGGAATACACCTAAAATCTCGCTTATATTTGATTTAGATGATTTTGAAGATTAGACTTTGGACTTGGCAATGATTTAAGATATTTAGGATGATGTGGTGGACTGAATGTGTCCGGCATGTGGGCAGGGCATGAAGTTGGGGGGGGGGGCAAAGATGGAATATTATGGATTGAATCATACCCCTCCACATATGTATCTGGAGTCCTGGTGTGGCGCTGTGGGTTAATGCACCAGACTGCAAAGCCATTTGAAATGCAAGGTCGGCGGTTCATGCTCACCAGCCGCTCCTTGGAAACCCTATACAGGGTTGCTATGGGTCGGAATCGACTTGACGGCACTTGACAACAACAACAAATATGTATCTGAGTAGATACTTGTATGTACATGAGTGACATAGTGAGAAAGACCTGATCTCCAGGAATATTGAGTAACAAGAAGAGCTCACGTCTTACAGCTTCTCTCAGAAGCTGTCATCTGGTACCTCAGACATAGCCTACTTTATTACCGCTGTCTGACTTCTGTGAAGAGCTGACTGGAATTCCCAAACTGGAAATTTTAAGAACATCTTCCCGAATAGTCATTATGTTGAAATTCTCACACGTAAGCCCAAAGTCAGGTAGTGTAAATTAAAAATAGGGTTGTTACTTTTTGTTTTGTTGTTTTTTACGCTGGTAGGTCAGATTTCCTGAGGAGTGTTATTGTTAAGTGCCCTTCAACCTGTTCGGGTTCATAGTGACCCTTCATAGACTTTCTGAGGAGTGGTTGGTAGATTTGAACTGCTGACCTTGTGGTTAGCAGTCCAGTGCTTATCCTACAGCACCACACCAGTGCAAAAGTCCCAAACCTTTGTGAGCAAATCATTAAAAATACCCAACAAAATAAGTTCAGGTCAAAATGGCTTTACTGGTGAATTTTGCCAGCCTTCGTAGAAGAGCTGCCACCAACTCTACTCAAACTGTTCCAGAATATAGAAAATCATGGAAAACTCCAGAATTCATTTTATGAAGCAAACATAACCCTGATACCAAAATCAGGCAAAGACATTGGGAAAAAGAAAAGTATAGAGTAATATCCCACATGAACGCAGATGCAAAACTTCTCAACAAAATCCTTGTCAATAGAATCCAATAACATATCAAAAAAATAATACATCATGACCAAGTGGGGTTCATACCTACTTGGTATGCAAGGATGGTTCAATATTAGAAAAAAAAAATCATTGTAATTCACAGCATAAATAAAACAAAGGAAAAGAACCAAAGAATCAGATCAACTGATAAAAAAAAGGCATTTGACAAAATCCAGCATCCATTCCTAATAAAAGCACTTAACAAAATAAGACTAGAAGGGAAATTCTTCAACATAATTAAGAGCATATACACAAAATCGATAGCCAGCATCACTCTCAATGGTGAAAAACTGAAGCCATTTCCCCTTGTGAACAGGAACCAGACGAGGATACTCTTTATCACCACTCCAATATTGTTTTGGAAATCTTAGCCATAGATATAAGATAAGAAAGGGAAATTAAAGGCATCCAAATTGGCAACAAATTAGTAAAACCCTCTTTATTTACGGGTGATATGATACTATATTTAGAAAATCACAAAGACAAAGCAAGGAAATTATTGGCAGTCACTGTAAGATTAAGCAAACTGGCAGGGAACAAGATCAACATACAAAAATCAGTTGGAATTCTTCACAATAGTAGAGAGAGCTCTGAAAAGGAAATTGGAAAACAATACCATTTACAATAGCCTCTCATAGCAACCCTGCATAGGGTTTTCTAGGCTATAAATCTTTGAGGGAGCAGAAAGTCTCATCTTTCTCCCAGGAAGTGACTGGTAAGCTCAAACCACTGACTTTGTGGTTAGCAGTCCTGTGCTTATCCTACAGAGCCTTATTGCTCTTAAAAGATGAAATATTTAGGAATAAATCCAAGCATAGGAGCAAAAGACCTATACAAAGAAGACTACACAACACTACTACAAGAAACCAAGAAACCTACAAGCATGGAAGCATGTACCATGTTTGCAGATAGAAAGACTTAAGATTGTGAAAATGTCATCTCTACTGAAAGCAATCTGTAGATATAATGCAGCCCCAATCCAGGTTCCACCATCTTCTTTAAAGAGATGGAAAAACGAATCACCAATTTCATATAGAAAGGAAAGGGACCTCATATAAGCAAAGTATTACTTAACAAGAACAAAATAGGAGGCTTCTCATTTTCTGATTTCAAAACAGCTTGGTACTGGTACAACAAAAAAGACACATAGATCAATGAAACTGAATTGAGAGCCCCGAAATAAATCCATCCACTTGTGTTCAATTGATCTTTGACAAAGGACTGAAACACATTAAATGGGTAAGAGATGGTCTCGTCAACAAATGGTGTTGGCAAAACTGGAAATCCACTTGCATTCAGATTCTGGTGGTATAAACATAATACTATGGAGAGTCGTATTTTCAAATGTTACTCCTAACTTTATTTTCTCCAGTGTCATGTCTCCTTGCTCTTTCCTAAGACCCCTCCGATGTACAGTTATGTACAGTTGCTCTGAACTGGGGAAGTTACCCATCTGAGACCTTCAAAGCAGTGTTAAGACTATGCCATCCATCCAGGCAAAGCATCTGTCTGGTCAGCCTGTCTGCATCTAAGTAACACTGACTCAGAGTTCAGGAACAATCGTGGTATTTGATGCGGGAAAATGCCGGTGACTCATCGTCCTCTGGAGAGCTAAGCAAGATTGTGGCCCTTTCTTAGGTGACAGCGCTGTGTTTGAAACTCACCAGCCCCTTCTCCCAACTACCCCCACCTCCCGAGTCTCCAGCAGTTACTTCTGTCCGAAGAGTGGTGTAAGATTTGCCGCACTTGGCTATTCACATTTGGCGCTAGCATATTCCAGCTCTGGAATTTAATCATAATATGGAACAACTAATTTCTAAATTGGGCTTGTGATCAAGACTGCTTCATAGGAATATTAATTGTTGGGAGTGTGCAGCCAGGAAATACATGACAGGCCAGATTTTATTGCTCGGTCTCCATAATGGTGACACATGACTGAGAAATGCATCTGCTTCCTAACTCTATAAATTGGATGCGGTTTATAATAATGTAACTAGAGCAGTAACACTTTATCATCAGAGCTGCTGTCCCCGTGGAAAATCATTATTCAGTGTGGACTTGATAAATCGGTCATCGTTCACAGGCAGAAGAGAAATTGATGGGGCCCGTTTTATTTACAGGGGAGTGGGCAATATGTTATCTTCTGATTGGGCTGATGTTTTTCCTACCAGAAGGATTATGTTTCCTCTTGAGTATGACTCAGAGAATTTGGTCAATGTCATTAGTCTTAAAGGCTTTAATGCCCAAGGCAGAGGACTAACCCTTTGTAATCCCAGCATGCCTTTCTGCTGAGAAACTTGGAAAAATATTCTCTTCAGATAAAATGAATGTCTTACTTCTCAAGTAGAGAAACTATGAGGAAGTAATGAATGGCAGGAGTACCTCTAACCCCAAAGCCACTAGGTGCCCCAGTGCCAATAGGCAAGTTTCCATAATTTTGTGTTTGCCCCTTAAATAGAGAAAGCCAGTGGTCATCCAACAGCGGTTAGGTTGAGGGCTGTGTGAGATAAGCTGGTCATTCATCCTCATTGAACATGTGTTACTAGCTAGGCTACATTGTTGTTGTTGTTGTTGTTGTTGTTAGGTGCCATCAAGTTGCCTGCAACTCATAGCAACACTACATAGGGTTTCCAAGTAGCAGCCGGTGGATTTGAACCACTGACTTTGCCGTTAGCCATCCAGTGCTTATCCTACAGTCCCACACCAGGACTGGTTATGATTCCCTGATGTTAGTCTAGTTGTTGTGTTGGAGTTAAATATGTGATTTAGTAAGTTGGGCTTGGGTAGAGCAAATTATCTTCTATAATGTAGCCTTGTTGTTGTTATTAAGTGCCAGTCACAACTTATAGTGACCTTACTTACATAGGGTTTCCAAGGAGCTACTGATTCATTTGAACCACCAACCTTGTGGTTAGCAGTCCAGTGCCAATCAATCAGTTGTGATATACATGTAGGATGGGTCCTAAACGTAACAACTTCTGAGTCATAAGAGGGCCAGAAAAGAAACACAGGGAAGAGGAAGACAGACAAAGGAGACAAATATCCCTGAAATCCAAGGAATGCCAAGGAACAACCAGGGGCTACAAACAATGAAGGAATCCACAAGGCCAAGACCCTGATTTGAATGTTATAGGGTCCAGCGCTATGAGCAACTGGATGTCTGTTCTTTAAAGTCAGCCACTCATAGTGTTTCTGTAATAACATCTCTCATTAACTAAGATACTCTGGACATTAAACTCCTGGCTGTTGGTGAACGTGGCATAGCTGAGGGTGACGCTCAACTTCAGTCATCGCACTGCAAGCCCGGTGCTCTCACCTTTATGTTGATGGTCTGTCGGTTGAGAGCGTGAGTACCACTGCTCATTCACAGTGCTTGGCTGTCTGAAGGGAAGCTTCTTGTGGCTG